ATGAAGAGAACCAGAAAGATATAAAAGAAAATGCTGAAAGAATAAAAGAAGTTCTTGACAACATGAAATATGGTGAAGATATAACATTTGAAGGTTTTCTTAACAACTTACAATTAACTGAAGAAAGTTACATCTTAGCTATAAGACACACCCTAAAGAGGGCAACGTTATGTTTGAAAAGGGCACCATCTGAAATAAGGATAAACAATTATAACAATGTTTTACTCAAAGCCTGGCAAGCAAACATGGACATTCAATATGTACTAGATCCCTATGCATGTGCCACATACATACTCTCTTACATTACAAAAGGACAGAGAGGTATGAGCAGGCTTCTAGAAAAGGCATCTGAAGAAGCCCAATCTGGTAATAAAGATGTTACAAATAGAGTGAGGCACATTGGAAACAAATTTTTAAATGCAGTTGAAATCAGTGCCCAAGAAGCTGTTTATCTTGTTTTACAAATGCCCATGAGAAGATCTTCCCGTGATTTTCAGTTTATTAGCTCATCACCTCCAGATGACAGGACATTTTTGTTAAAGAAACTGGATAAGCTCAAGGAATTGCCTGACAGTTCACCTGACATAGAATCTGACAACATAATTAAGCGTTATCAAAGGAGACCAAAACAGTTAGAAAAGTTGTGTTTAGCTAACTTTGTTGCATGGTATAACTATGTTAAAGATGAACATGCTGATTGGAGTGGAAATGGGTCATCAGTCACAGGTCTTGATGACTTCTTACCAGAAACAAGCTTTGATGACAATACTGATGATGACCCTATTAGTATTAATGTCACTGAGTGTCAATTTGAGCCACATGAATACAAACTTAAAGGAGGAATGAAACTGGTTAAACGAAAGAAACCTAAAATCATACGATCTGTTAGGTACAATAAAGATAAGGATCCAGAAAACCATTTTCGAGAACAGCTTATGCTTTATACACCATGGCGAAATGAAACTACTGATTTAATGAAAGAATGTCAAACTTACCAAGAACGATTTGAACAGGTTAAGGATAAAGTTATCAGCAATAGGCGTCAACATGAATACCATTCAGAAATACTAGATAAAGCAATGGAAGATATGAATAATGCTGAATATGACAACTTTGACACTGTTGCTCCAAATGCAGAGCATATCAGTAAGCAGGACTGTGCTGTCAAGGAGAAGCCTAGTGAATTATTTGCTTGCTTTGATCCTAGAAAAAACAAGGACCATGAACAGTATGATTTGCTAGATGATATCGGAATCTTCCCTAGAAGTAATGATGAGGAGGAACTCGTTATAAAGCGGATGTCTGATGATAATTATTTTGCACTTGTCCGCTCTTTGAATGAAAAACAGAGACAATTTTTTTATCATGTGTTACATTCAATAAAAACTAGGGATGACCCTCTTAGATTGTTCTTAAGTGGAGGTGCTGGAGTTGGCAAAAGTACAGTCACCAATGCATTATATGAAGCATTAATAAGATATCTGAATAGTATTGCAGGGGAAAATCCAGATGATGTGAAAGTTGTAAAAGCAGCTCCTACTGGTAAAGCAGCTTTTAATATTAAAGGCAATACATTACATTCTGCTTTTAAGATACCTGCCAATAGAGGTTTTGAGTATTGTGCACTGGACAGCGACAGACTAAATACCATTAGGGCGCAACTCAAGAAACTTAAGACAATTTTTATTGATGAGATATCCATGGTAGGAAGTGGCATGTTTAACTTCTTGAATGCAAGACTGCAACAAATAATGGGGACAAAAGAACTATTTGGTGGAATTAGTTTAATAACTGTTGGTGATCTTTTCCAGTTAAAACCAGTTTTTGATAAGTGGATCTTTGAAAATTCTGCAATAGGCTACAGTGCTTTAGCAAGTAACATTTGGACA